ACCAATTTTTTTTTTGCCATGTCTTTCACGTTTTTTGCAAACTCATTTTTGTCCAATTTCAATACAGTAGGACTCCGGTTATCCGAGCTAATGTGGACCGGACCTATACCTCAGATAAGGCGAAAACTCGGATAATCCGAATTGTTAAATATTTATTACAATTTAACATTATTATTGTTTAAACAATTATTATTTATTACAAACGGGAAAATAATATTGTATATATTCCATAATAATTTAAACAATTTGATTTTATTAAAAATAAACTCATATTTATAAAAAACTAAAATTAAAAATAACTCGGATGACGCGGACTAGACTTGGATAATGCAGAATTTCCTACTGGGACACCACCTCCGATAATCGAGACCTCGGATAAAACGAGCTCGGATAAACGGGGTTTTACTGTATTCAAATAGTTTGTTGGAAGAAATTTCAGCTTTGCAATTAAAAATACAAAAAAAATTTTATAGAGGGTCAATCTAGTTAAGGGTATGTAGGAACCTCCCACGTGACCTAGTATGGGAAAATGTGTTTTGGTAGTATACGTTTCACTCTAAAATGAAAAAAGATTTTAGTCTAAAATTTTGAGGGATGATAAATTAGGGTATTAGGAATCTCGCTGTTTTCCGAAAAATACATAATTTTGAGTAAAATTATTAAAAAATGAAGTTTAAAAAGTGTGATTTTTAAACGAAATTGAAAACAAAGATGGCGGCGCATACACAGACGTTGCTTGAGTGTGTCAGTGCTCCAGTAAACAGCGCCAATTCGAGCGAGTGGCCGCTGAATGAACTATGATATAATACATTATTTTACTATTTATTGCTTTATTTTTATTATTTTTGCGTTAAGTTATGGTAAATGAGTAGAACAGCGAGATTCCTTGTACCAAACAAAATCATTTCTCCAAAATTTTAACCCAAATTCATTTTTTATTTCAGAGTAAGTTTCAAACCACAAAAAAACGTCCTTTGCCCACATACCCATAAGCAAAAAAATTACCAAAACAGCAGGACTTGCAAAAAAAGTATTTATTTTGCAGAATAAAATGTGACATTGTAGGTTAAAATTAAAAGTTTATAATTATTAATGTTTGAAGCTAATTTATTCTTTTGTATTGAATTAGTTGCATTAAAAAATTTAGAAAATTACTATGAATATGTCAAACTAATATGCTCGGGTCTACTGGACCCATGGTGTCAGTTGAGGGTTAAGAAAAAAGAAATTATTAAAAGAAACTATATCCCAAAACTTTCCCTTCTCCAGTTAATTTTGGTTTAAATGAAATTTTTTTTGCCATACCATAGTGGACTAAAAATTATTAAAATTTGAAGAAAATTTTTTTTTTCTCCTTATTCATTACTTCATATGAAATTCCTCATTTATTATAAATCTGAAATGAAATGACACATTAATATTATGTGATGATACAAATTTATACAATTTCGTGGCAACAATTTGAATTTGATCAAGTTTCATGTTTGCAGGACTGCGAACACTATCAAAAGTTGAAACTACATTACACATACTATAACCAAGAGGAGATGTTGACAGTTAGTTTAAAATATACAGCAAGCTTGATCATGTCGAATGGAGTATACGAAGATGAAGTGAATACGAAATGCTAAACGGGTCTTGTTAAACTAACAACAAAAGTAGAATGCACCACCTTTATATTCAATTGAATTCCCAAAGTCAAGGAGAATACAAATGTGCAGAAGACGATTCTTGAAGTGGTTGAAATTGCCCCCTCCCCTCCCCCCCCCCAAAAGCCCTCTAAACGATTGAATCACAATTTTTTTTTTTTTTTTTGTAAAAAGAATCTACAAAACAATTATCGTTCTTTTCTGCAATCTAAGAGGAAAAAGTAGTCTAGTCCAAAGAATGAAAAGTTTTCTCGAGTGGACCAGATTCGAGAACTTGTCGAAAGCTAAGACTATTGTATTTTCGTTGAATGAAGATGAATTGGTATATATATATATATAGATATAGATATAGCTAGATATAGATATATACATATCTGTTCTTAAAAAAATGCTTTTAACTTTGGTAAATTATTTAAAAAGCTTTCTTTTATAAAGAACTATTTAAAGAAAAATTTACATGGTATTCTAATTTTTTCCCAAAATACTTGATATAAATTGAGCTAAAAATTTTGTGGAGAACTAAAAAATAATATAAGAATTCGTTGTCATGTGACATCAGAGTATATTATAATTTTTTTCAATTTTTTTTTTTTAATTGCATATTTAAGGAGAATTCAATATGTCAGCAGTACGATTTTAGTCATTTCCCAAAATATGTAATTTTTTAACAATATATTAATATAGTTTATAACGAATTCTTATTTTATTTTTGACTCATCCACAAAATTATATCTTAATTTATAAAATATTTTGCGAGAAAAATTACAGAGAATATTTACATGTAAAATCACATAACCTTAAAAACAAAGTAAAATAATATAAAATACATTTTTTTATAGACTAGCGCCTCTGATGCGGCCGTCTTCGTTGCTTCTGTTCCTTTTTCAATTTTCATTTTATTTATTTCATTTAAAAAAATGATTTAATTTCTTCTTTTATTTATTTCATATCGATTCAAAATGTATAGAAAAAATTTATGAATGTGAAATAAGAGAGAGTGATTTACGCTATAATCTCTCTTGCGCTAATCATTTTCAAAAAATTTCATTGAAAACAATATTTTTCACTACCTACAGTTGTAACTATGTTCATTTTTGTTTTTTATAAATTATTTATTAATAACAAAGGAAAATAATATATTATATTATGTAAGTGTTATATTAAAATGAATTACATATTTTAAAATTATCGCGCGCTAATTATTGCGACCAATTAGGTGGCTTTAACTGAATAGGTTATGTTTATTTCCACAACGTAACAGCCTTTTCTTGAAAACAAGAAGGTAAAATGCTTTTTCCTTTATGGATAATTGATTATTGGCAAGATATACACCAGCTAAAACTTTTTTTGAGTTAAAATAATAAAAAAAATTTCATGTCAATAAATTAAATATGAGCACTTTTTTCACAAAAACTGTAACAGTACTTTCTCAGAAATTACAATCAAAAATGCAATTTCCATTTGGAAAATTAATAAACGCTAAAAAATACACGACCTAAGATTTACCAATCACGAAAATAACACAAAAAAAGTATTTTAACATAACATACTTTACTCATTATGACAGCCGTTTTGGCAGGTTATGTATGTCACCAGACGTTTCGCAGTTTTGCCGAAAGGAGGAGATTGGCGCTGTTGCTAACCACCTGAAATACATAATCTACCAAAGGGCTGTCACAATCAGTAAAGCAGTATCAATATGTTAAATATTTAATAAAATTTTTTTTTGTTATTTTCGTGTTTGGTAAATCTTAGGTCGTGTATTTTTTAGCGTTTATTAATTTTCCAAATGGAAATTGCATTTTTGATTGTAATTTCTGAGAAAGTACTGTTACAGTTTTTGTAAAAAAAGTGCTCATATTTAATTTATTGACATGAAATTTTTTTTATTATTTTAACTCAAAAAAAGTTTTAGCTGGTGTATATCTTGCCAATAATCAATTATCCATAAAGGAAAAAGCATTTTACCTTCTTGTTTTCAAGAAAAGGCTGTTGAAAATTTTCCAAAATTTTAGTTTCAATGTAGATGGCGCTGCCTCACTTGGACCTGGCCTTAAGCTATCAGAATCAACATTTTAAAATTTAGCGCGCAAAATTAATGTATAAAGCGCATGATCAAAGTGTGCAACGTTGCCAGACGTTCTGACAGCTGTTCAAGTTAACGTATAAAACGTGAAATATTGTTAAAAATTAATTTATTGCAACTCCCACAAGAACCTAATATGACTTTTTAAAACAGATATTTAATCATCATCTATCTAATATGTATTAAAAAAAGTTTCATGAATTTCCTAATGTTAATTATACTTTATGGTGAGTTAATATGTATGAAAAAGTACTCACATAAGACTCAATGTTAATTGTTAAAAAAAAAACGCTCATAACTTATTTCACAAGAACCTAGAGGTCTCAAAAATTTAGCTACATTTAATAATTTTCAAACATTTATCTAATAGTGGATCAAGTTCCATTAAATTAATAATGTTAATTCTATTTCCGCTATAATCTCCTTAACCTTAAATTTATTAAAATATTCCTCAGTTAATAAATTAAATTTATTTTTAATTGATAACATTCATTACTTGTATTATATATAATTTAATTCACTTGAATTAATAAAATAAAAATTGTTTATATCAAATAATCATTATTTTATTTAAAGAATTTATTTATTAGATTCAATTAATTAATTATTTTTTTAATAATAGTTTTTTAAGTCACATAATAGCTGTAATTTTTAATTTTTCCGACCAAAAAAATGAGGAATAAATTGAGTTGGAATTTTGTTGATATTTATTTAAAATAATTGGAAATTGTTAAAAAAAATCGCTCTGACTTTTCTTATCATATTTTTTAGACTTATCCACAAAATTCTATCTCAATCCATTCAGAATTTCACGAGAAAAGTAGTTGAAAAAATTAACTTTCACGTGACCTTTTACAATCAGCGATGCTGTTAATTGGATCTATAAAGTATATAAATGAGTGAAGGTTATCATTGTTATTCACCTATAGCTTGATTCCTTATTAAATGGGAATTAGAGAAATTGACACGTGCAAATCAATTTTAATTCCTTTCTTCTTCACTGAAATATATATCATTCATTTTTTTTTTCCTTATACATTTTTTTGTTCATTTAATTAAATTAAATCACATGCCATAATTATCATGAAAATTATAAAATTCACAAAAAAATTATTAATCTCATTATAAATTAATTAAATTACTTGATAATCCAGAGTATGCATAAAATAATATTTTACAAAAAAAAAAATACATATAATATATTTTATTATTCAAGATTTTCTATTTTTGTTTTTTTTTTGTTAATGGAATATTTTCTTTCATAGTTAAATGGTGGATCCTGGGAATTAGGGGAGATTCTCTGCATAGCTTGGGTCTCCCTGGATGTTCTACTATGTACTGCCAGTATCCTGTCCTTGTGTGCCATATCTATAGATAGGTAACTAAAAAGGATCTGTGTTTACAAATTTTAACACGTGTCGATAACGATATAACGAGAAAAAGCTTCCTCTATTGGAAATTGTTTGAACACGTAAATAAATTCTCCTAAATATTACGTTAAAGGTAAAAAAAAAAAAAAAACAAACCTAGCAAAAATTAGGAATCTCAATATATATATAAACGCGGTGCGAGTTTTTTATGATCATGTATAGCTTTCACGAAAAACTTTTAAAAAAGACTAACAAAAATATATTACATTAATTTAAAATTTCGCCTCTCAAAAGCTTTCACGTACACACGAAGGATTTTATATTTTATAAAGTACTTTTTTCTCGTTGTTTATCCTCCAGGCGCAAAATTTTAATCATAGTTTAAATTTTTTTTAAACCATTTTCTTGAATATATATTCAATTTTTTTATTTGTTTATAATTCCAATTTTTATTATAAAATACCTATAATATTAATTATTATTTGAAATATAATATTGTTTAATATTATTAATTTATTATTATTACATTTATAATTTTTATTATTTATTAGTTTTAAAGTGTTTTTATGAGCCGAAAGTTTTGAACATTCATATGAACGAAATATTTTTTTCAATCTATTATTAAAAATTATGATGATTATGTAAAATAAAACAGTAAATTAAACAATTATTAAATTAATAACATCTTTTTAGATATTTTAAACAATATTTTATAATAAAATTCGTACTTAAAGAAGTTGCAAAAAAAATTTCGTTCAAAACTTTTGCTCATATATTTTTAATATATTCTTACTTTTTCAATATCATATGAAATCGTGTAAATTTAAGGAAGAAGCCTCACTGCATAGTTATAGTCAATATACAACAAACATTTAAGTTTTCATTTGAATCAATCAGTACTAACGCAACGCGCTTGACAATATTGTATTATATTTCTCCCCCTGTTTTTGCTTTGTGTCATCTGCAAATGTTTTGATTATCATGTCGGAATTACATTTATTAGAAGAAAATTATGTGAAGAGTATATGTGGGAACCACCCACATGAACTAATATGAGAAAATGTGTTTTGGTAGTAAACATCTTACTCTAAAATGAGAAAAGATTTTTCTCTAAAATTTTGAGGGATGATAGATGTGGGTACAATGAATTTCGCTGTTCTCCGGAAAATATATAATTTTGCGTTAAATTATTAAAAAATGAAGTTTAAAAATTGGCATTTTTAAACGAAAATGAAAGCAAACATGGCGGCGCATACACAGACGTTGCTTGAGTGTGTCAGTGCTCCAGTAAACAGCGCCAATTTGAGCAAGTGGCCGACCCTGAAACCATCAAAAAATTATTATTGAAAGGGTAAAAAAGTTAGCCAAAAAGTTTAATGAGAACCGCTGTAGGATGCAGGAGGTGGGAAAAAACCTTCGTGGTGTTTATGGAATTAGAGATAATGAAAAATCTAACCTCAAAAACAAAAACAGTGGACAGAGTGAAGACGAATAATTCATTCGAAAACTTTATCGGAACAAATTGTTTTGTGGAAATTTCAATTCGATTTTGTATTTATCAGATATTGCTAATGAAAAAAGGTTTGGTTTGGCGTCTTTCTTTAGCGCGTAAGGGCGCACTCACACCTTTTGGCTGCCTGCCTGCCTGCAGGAGTTGTCATGGCAACGTGTAGGAGTAACAGGGAGAGAAAATTAAAATTTGAATTTACTATCTCTGTTACTCCTTCACGTTGCCATGACAACTCCTGCAGGCAGGCAGCCAAAAGGTGTGAGTGCGCCCTAAAGATACGATTTTTATATTACTTGAAAAAATTTCAAATTTCGCGCCTCTTGTATACCCTAACCTTCAAGAAGCAACGTTGCCAAGCGTTGTGCTTATTAGTAACTGCTGATTGATAAAAAAGGTGTTTTTTTTATACAAAATAATTAATTTCAAGTCTCATAGGTGCGAGGTATGATCATTTTTTTGTTTTTGGAAATTATTTAAACACCAATTATTTAACTTTAGCTGTAAAAAGTTATATCAATATCTGTTTGTCATATTTCTTACAATTAAACCAGTGGGCCAAGTTTCATCAAAAACTGTTTGTCAATTTCAAAATCGAAGGTTCTTCCTTAAAATTCTTGTAAAATATTGAATGTTTAAAAGAATGTATAGCCTAATGAATCTCATAAGAATCTAAAAAAAAGCATATGGAATTGAAAAAAAATTTCAGTTAAGTTAACTATTTCCCACACAGCACCAAAACTTGCATCAATATTCGCATCATTGCCTCAATATTCTAATATTGCATCAACATTGCAGGAATAATGGCAATATTGATAAAATTCTAGGTGAGGGGTCAATTACATAACTTTTTCCTGATTCCACATTCCACTTTTCACATTTCGTAATCCGGATTTCACATTCCCTATTCCACTTTTCACATTCCGTATTCCTAATTCCACATTCCGGATCCCACTTTTCACATTTCATATTCCGGATTCCACATTCTGGATCCTACATTCCGGATCCCACATTCCGAATTCCACTTTCAGAATTTGGGATATGAAATCCGGAATTTGGAAAGTGCAATCCGGAATATGGGATCCAGAATGTGGAATCCGGAATTCAGAATGTGAATTGTGGAAACCGGAATATGGAATACGAAATGTGGGATCCGGAAAAAGTTACGTAATTGACCCCCTGTGTGGGTTTTAATTAGTTTGATACTAATTTTGATAGTCCTCTAATGATAATATTACAGTCTCCATGGATTTGTTTTATTTCTATTTAAAATAATTTAAAAAAATTGCTATTTATATTAATTTTATATAAATAATGAACATATTAATATATTCAATTTATTATTAAATAGAGAATATAGTAATCATTTTATTGGTAATAGCAATCAATTGCGAGAAAGGTTCAATATAGCTCCACCACAAATAAATGTGGTGAAAATTGGAACATTCACGCAAGTATATTGTATATTACCGACCGCATCATGTTACGCTTGTTTGAAAGTTCCAATTCTCACCACATTTATGTGGTGAAGATGCATGAAACCTTTCCCACAATAGACAAGGCGAGGAAATTATATATATATATTAGACATGGAAACTTCGACTTATGAACTTAAAGATTGATCATCAAGCCATTAAAAAAAAAATTATCATTTTATAATTTAAAAACAGATTTTAATGTAATTTCTTTATTTATTTAATTAAAATTCAATTTTTTTTAATATCTTCTGTTAAGTTACTCAATTTTTTTGAGATTATTTTTATTTTAAATTGGTCAATTTCTTCACGGGTTAGTATAATAAATATTTTTTTTAATAAATTAATTTTAAAAAAAAAATCTTGGATAAAAATTATTAATTTTTTTTTCTCTCTTTCCAATATTGTAGATATTTAGCTGTAACGCAACCTTTAATCTACAGTAGACGACGAAGAAGTAAAAGACTGGCAGCATCGATGATCATTGTTGTTTGGTTTCTGGCAGGAGCTATAACGAGTCCACCATTATTAGGTTGTTTTCCAGAGGCTACAAATCGTGATAGCACAAAATGTTCATATAACATGGAACCATATTACGTTGTATTTTCAGCAATGGGCTCCTTTTTTCTACCTATGCTTGTCATGCTTTACGTTTATGCTCGGATTTCATGTGTTATCGCTGGAAGACATAGAAATTTGGAAGCAACTGAGAGTGAAAATTTCCGCCCTCGACGACCACTTTTGGTAAGGTGTACATATTGAATTTTAGAAAAAAAGATTCTTGTTACAATTTTCATATATACGGATATAATTTTTTTCCAACAGAATTTTCAATTAATTAATTCAAAAATTATTTAATATATATATATATTAGAGGGGCCACGCCCCCCTGTTTTAATCATTTTTTTTTAATTTTTCATTGATCTTATTTTTCCAAATGAACCACCTATTTCAAAGAATTATTATTACAAATTCATTGAAATCTGAATAAATTTTATTAAAATTAAAATTATTAAATTTTTATTAATAAATTAATTAAATTAATAATAAATAAATAATTAAATAAATTAAAATCGACATTAAGAAATTATTTTTAAAAATAATTTCAATGAAATTGCCTAAAAACCAATAAATTATTAAAAAGTCTTGAAACGAACATAACCTTTAAATTCAAGTCATTTTTGGTGGGAACTCCACCTCCACTTGCGGCTATATTGAAAGTCTTGAAATTTACATAACCTTAAAATTTATGTCATTTTTGGCGGGAAATACAGAGAGAGATGAGGGAAGGGGGAAGGACTTACTGCTTTATTAGGGTCTTAAAACAAACATAACCTCAAAATTTAGGTCAATTTTTGCCGGAGGAGGGGAAATGACAGGAGGGAGGGGGGACTTGAGGCTATATTCAGAGCCTTGAAACGAACATAACCTCAAAATTTAGGTCATTTCTGGCGGGGGAGGGGAGGGGACTTGCGGCTATATTCAGAGTCTGGAAACGAATATAACCTCAAAATTGAGGAGGGGGGACTCCCCCCTCCTAGGTCAAGAATTCTTGAAACAGCGGCGGTGGCGATATCTTTTTGTAATATATATATATTTAATAAGAGACAATAATAATTATTATAATATTTAAATAATTATAATAATTATCTTGAAAATTTATAATTTTAACTTTTACACAATATTCAAAAATACATTTTCAAAACTTATCTCTAACAGATAAATTCAATAAACTTTCATTGACAATAAAATAATAATTAATTAATTCAATGCAACTTAATTGTGACAGATTTCCGCAAAAAGCTTATGTCATATTTATATTAATTTTAAATTTCTTTTGATAAATTCCAACATGGAGTGAAACAAATTTTAATTAAAATTTTCTCTTGAAACATCCTACACATTGTGGAATTATTTGACATAGTGCGTCAATTAATATTTATAAAACATTTTAGCAACAAAAATATTTTTGAACAATTTTTAATTTTAATTCGATTTGTAATATTTTGATATTTTTTTTCATTATTTTCCAATTAGAATTTTTCCAATTAGTTTCAAACAAAAATGTGTATTCTAAACCGTTGTTTTTTGCACTTTTAATCAATTGTTGTTCATTGTCCTCAGTTTATTTGTTATAAAAAAAAAATGTATATCTTTAGTTCCTTTTTTAGTAACTGAATAATGAATACTTGAAATGTTTTAATTGATTGTGAAGATGAGAGTTCTTTATCGATTCCAATAGAACAAGGTTCATGAATAGACATTATTTGATGTGTGTATCCATTACAATAACAGAAAATCAAGAATATGCATGACAATAATATCGAGCGTCTTAATGGAAAATTCATATATATATATATATATATACATATAATAAACTAATAATAATTATATGTGAATATCCAAGACAATAACTGTACTAATTTTCGTCATTAGTAATTTCTATTTGCTTAATTAAGTCTTTATTTAGAGTGCACTTTTCTCATTAATGTTAAGGACCAATATAATAACAATCCTAATATAATTACAGTTAATTTTAGAATTCTATTGTCAATTGGATTTTAATTATTTCAATATATTTTTTAACAGTCACAACTGTAAAAATAACAAGAAAATAATTTTTTTTTATTCAATCGGTGATAGTAAAATTCCATTTCAATGAGTTATTGTTTCGAACAGTTATTATTTATCACATTTAATTAAGGGTCTGATGAATTAAAAATTTTTCATAATTTTAAATTGCAATACAAAATGTGTTATTTGCTAAACAGAGGAAAAAAAATTATTGCTTTCTTGTCAAACTGTATGTAGAAAATGGTAATTCCATAAAACGTTATTGAAGGTCCAAAAGCATTTATCATCGTATCGTGCTTAACGGTTTCGAAAGATAATTCCTAAAATGTGACGACATTGATGGCTTTTTTTCCTGTTTACCTATATATACGTATATACGATATATTTTTAGTCAGAAACACGAAATTCCGGTTATATGAAAAAAAAAACGCTGAAATGAAAATAGAAAAAGAATATTCTGACAACTCTCATTAAAATATACAATAATTCCCTCTCAAATATATATATATATATATATATATTGAAAACTATAAATTTGCATTTTATACTGAAAATAATGTCAATTATTTATTTTACTAGCAACACACACGTGCGCAAATGCGTGCTTCCAACATCCCATTGGTCAAATTTCTCATATAAAATTTTTTAAATCATTATGATAATGTATTATAATTTTATAATTCAAAATAATGATAAAATTCCCAAAAAATTCAATTTTTCTTAGATAGACAATTTTATTGCAAATTCTTGAACAAAATACACCACAAAATTGTAGAAAAAAATTAACAGCATGATACAAGTAGGGGAAAATCTCTACTACCACCCTTAAGGAGATTATAGAGATTGACTGAACTAATCAAAACAGAAACTATTATTTTATGATTTGACTTTCTCGGTACTGTGAAACGTCTGGCAACACTACATTACGTCAGTCGAGTTGGCAAATTGTTGCTATATGACTTGTTTACTTTAATAAAACAATTATCCCTCTATTTAATTAACTTTAATTTAATTTTAAAAATGTTTAATCAATTTTATTTATTAACTTTTATTTTCTTTTTAAATATAGCGTATTTTATACGTGCTATCAGAATCAAAATTTTAAAATTTAGCGCGCAAAATTAACGTATAATATGCATGATCAAGTGTGCAACGTTGCCAGACGTTCTGACAGCTGTTCAATTTAACGTATAAAATGTGAAATATTGTTAAAAATTAATTTATTGCAGCTCCCACAAGAATCTAATAACACTTTTTTAAACAGATATTTAATCATTAAATATCTGTTTTGTATTAAAAAAAGTTTCATCAATTTCCTAATGTTAATTATTTTGTGGTGAGTAAATATGTATGAAAAAGTACTTAATTCCCATAAGACACAATATTAATTGTTAAAAAACAAAAACGCTTACAACTTTTTTCACAAGAACCTAGAGGTCTGAAAAATTTAGCTACATTTAATAATTTTCAAACATTTATCTAATAGTGGACCAAGTTTCATTAAATTACTAATGTTAATTCTATTTCCGCTATAACCTCCTTAATGCAACACCTAAATTCCCAAAAAATAAAATTTTACTTAGAAAGACAATTTCATTGCAAATTCTTGCACAAAATACACCCTAAAATGTAGAAAAAAATTGACAGCATGATAAAACCCACTTGGAAAGATTGCCCGGAAAGTGCCCCCTGGAGGTTCTATTTGAATTCCGCCGGAACTTCCAACGTAATTCCATCGGAGTTCCAAAGAATTTCCGATGGTATTCCGACGGAATTCCGATTATTTTTTTCAAAATTTTTAGAGTCCTAATTCCGTCGGAACTCCATCGGAATCCCATCAGAAATTCTTTGGAACTCCGATGGAATTCCGACGGAATATCGTTGGAAGTTCCGGCGGATTTCTGATAGAACCTCCAGGGAGCACTTTCCGGGGAATCTTTCCAAGTGGAAAGTAATGGAAAACCCCTACTACCACCCTTAATGCAACCCCTGTGATAAAAAAATCCCCAAAAAAATTCAATTTTTCTTTAAACTGTAAAATCGTCAATTTTAACCCTAAATCCGTCATCAGCGTCCAGAAATATATCTAGAATGACTATGGAGAAAATTTTAAAGCACTTAATATTTTTACACGAGCTTAAGGAAACAAAAAAATGCCTAGTACTTTATTGTTATTAATTAAACAAATTTTCTAAATAAACAGGAAAATATTTATTGAACCCTTGGAGAATATTGAAAAGTTAGAAACAATAATTTCATCCTTTTTAAAATAAAATTCAATGCTGCTCTCTAAATCTGAATCAGTAGAAATTTTACTAATTCAATCAGTACTTTTCATTTTAACTGAAGTTTCAGTTATTTTTTGAAATTTACTAATATAATTAGTGAATATGCAAGCAATAGAAAATAACTTATGTAAATCAGTAATTTTTATATAACATAACCTTTAAAATTAACTATTAAATCAGTGCCGCCGCCATATATTTATATTACTGATTCAATCAGTAATTGATATTTTACTATTTGAATCAGTAAATTTCTACTAATTGTCAGTTGCTCAATTCTCGCTAGGGCAATTAGTAGATTTCTACTGCTAATCAATAAAATATGACTGATTCAGATTTAGAGAGTGTTAAGGGAGAAAAATAATTTTAATTTTTTTCTATGCCCTAGCTATTTTTATATACAATTACATTAACATTTTCCCTATTCATTTTAGAGTGAAAGAACGAAAAGTATAATAAAGAAGAAGAAAACGGATGGAAATACAACTTCAGAAGGTACAAGTGACTCTTGCGATAAAGCGCCCAGTCAAACTGAGATATCAACTACTTGCCGGAAGTTTGGTACTATTCGTACCCATCATCATAGCTGTATCAACAGGGTGGCTAGGGAGACGAAGACCGCTGGTACTTTAGCGGTAGTTGTTGGAGGATTTGTTGCATGTTGGTTGCCATTCTTCATTCTTTATCTAATCACTCCTTTTCTACCTATGGAGCCGCCGGACCTTCTCATGCAGGCTCTCACGTGGTTAGGTATGGTTCACACTTTTTCAACTTCTCAATACAATATAAGTGATTCTCCAAAAAAAAAGGTCATTTTCATGTCTTTGTGTTATATCATCTCACCATCTCATCAAATTGAATTATTTGCATTGTAAATAATAAATATTCTTCAAGTTTAACTCAAAATATTCAATTCTTATCAACTAGAAGAATAAACAGTATAATAAATTATTGAAATATGATGCAATAAGTGTTAATTAAGTTTTATAAAGTTTATTGTGCCAATATTCGAAAAATGAATTTTAACCATATTATTTACAGATAAATTGTATATTTACACTAAATAAACGAATCCATGAATTATACTATAATTACAAATTTATACTTATTTTTAATTATAATTTCGGGTTTAGAATATTTATTTAAATAATACATAGATGGTTAAAAAATTAACAAGATGGTAAAAAATGTTAAAAAAATAAAAATTTAAAAAAAATTACCAACCTAGAAATCTACCTTACCGACTGTTGGTAAACAATTTTTTGAAAAATAAAAAATATAAAAAATTACTGACAAAGATATCTACCTTACCGACTGATGGTAAAACAGTTTCTTGGAAAAGGAAAATATAAAAAATTACCGACGCAGAAATCTACCTTACTGACTGAAGGTAAAGAAATTTTTTGAAAAATGAAAATATAAAAAATTACCGACACAGAAATCTACCTTACCGACTGATGGTAAAGAATTTTTTGCGAAATGTTATCAACTTTTTTAAAACTGTTTTACCATCAGTCGGTAAGGTAGATTTCTGTGTCGGCAATTTTTTATATTTTCATTTTCCAAAAACCATGTTGTACCATCTATCGGTAAGGTAGGTTTCTATGTCGGTATTTTTTTTTATTTTTTACAAAATTGATAATTTCAATTAATGAATCGTTCCTAATCACAATTTTGTTAATATTTTTTGATTGGTTAATTTAAAATATTGCGTTCAATTTTTTTTTGTCTGTTGTTTGTTTGGCCATTTGCATTCTCGGTTAGAGTGCGAATGTACATTAAAATTGTAAAATGTATATCGTATTTTTAATTTTTTTTTACATTGCTATCAGAAACACGTGATCAGTAATGAATTTTTTTTTTCAATTCCAGGTTGGATTAATTCAGCAATTAATCCATTCATTTATGCATTCTATTCGGCTGACTTTAGACTGGCATTTTGGCGACTTACCTGCGGGAATTGTTGTCGTAGACGAACTCCATTAAATCAAGTCGATCGCAGTATTCCTCCACCAGCTAGTTGGCGGAAGGAAACATCAAAAACTTGAGTTCTGGAAACGAAAGTGTGATTTAAAATTTGAAAAGTGAAAAAAAAGTTTTGATTCATCGCTGAATAACATGCTATTTCAACTGTGATTCCTCAAGTGGTACCGCAGCTTCAAATATGTATATATATATAGTTAATTGAAAGTGGTCTCAATATATAAAACTGTTTTATAATGATCACTATATCACGATTAAAAAAAAATTGACGATTACAATATTTAAAATCAATTAAAACAATTTAAGAAAGCTTTAAGAAAATAATATCAATGAAAAAAAAAAAATTGGAGGGGAAGTTACTTTCTAGTAAAACTTCTTAACACGTTTTCTAAGACATTTTTTACATTCCAATGCCTCATAATGAGATATTGTAAATTAGAATAAACTTCATACTAAAATAGTGCAAATGTTCATCTACCTATTATAATAAACATTATTTCAATTTTGAGAACGTGAATTAAAAAAAAAAAAATTGTTACTAATTTCCGCTTTTTATATAAAATAATAAATTTATCAGAAAATAATTCTATGTGATCATTAAAAAATGAATTGCACATGTGATAAAAAAAAATTGTTAAAATAATAAGCAAATATTTGTAAAATAAAAATTGTCGGAGAATTTCCAATTACCAATTAACTAATGTAGACTATATCAATAAAGAAAAATGAAGGGTGGGATGTTTTCTTTTCATCAAAATATTCAAAACAATGTTTTCTGAATGAGAGTTAGTGCAAAAGTATGTAATTCACAAAGGCAGATGAAAGATTATATAGTAAAGTAAATGTGTAGTCTAAGTCTCGACTATCAATAATGAAGAGTATGTCTTTAAGGAAAAAAATAAACAATGTCTTTTCTTTTATTATACCATTCTCACTGCTTTGATAAATAGTAATTAGTTTTATTATGATAAATTAAAATATTATTTTTATATTCATTAAAAAGTTTTCAATTATTTCATTTGAGTATAAAATTACAAAAATCAAGTAGAAAGTTACGCATGACTGAAATCTTATACAACTACTGGTAACAAAAGTAAGAATTTAATTTTTTTTTTTTTTTTTTTTTGACTAAATCTGTATTTTACTAGTAATATTAAAATCACACTAATTTTTCGCTAATTTAAATTGCGTATTCTAATATTTTATTAAAATTATATTAACTAAAAATTATCAGAATTTCTCAAACAGATCATATAAAAATTTTTAAAAGTAATTAATTTCCAACGTAAAATAATTTTTTTTTACAACTACTGACATCAAAATAAGTTTCTGAAATTATTAAATTAAAACATTTTTTTCTTTCTTTTTAAATTAATAAAAATTGGAATTATAAAACCTGTGTAGAAAATAAAAACTGGTCCTAGCTATTGGTCCTATCTGTTTTGCTCTATTATTAACTAGGTCCAAGTTTGGCATTCTAGAGCTTGGTCCTACAATGGTTTTGTGATGCGATTTTAGCCTGGTCCAAACTTGGGTGCCTAATTAAAACCAGTTTTAATAATAAATAATTAAAAAAATTAATTTTAACCACAATTAATACTAACTTTCTAGAAGGAATATCCTGTAAGTTTTAAATAAAACTCTAAGAGTTGAATTAAAATTTGAACCCTACGGGAATCGAACCCCAGACGCATGACCTAAGAGACCTAACGAACGCTTTAACGACCGCGGCTACCGAGCTTAATTAGATATTTTTATTTGATTTGTCTATATATAAATTTTCACTATATTTTTTTAATTCTATTTTACAAAAATACTTGAAATTATCCAGAACTTTCCCTGTACGTGTATTATGTTGTCAAATAATAGATTTAAAACATTATATTGCATTGTTTAATTGTTTAAACAATTTATTGTTATTTATTAATTTTTTTGTAGTGCACCTTAGAAAGATGCAGCTTTTTTCCTAATTTTACAATAGGAAAAAATACTGCATTTTCCTAGGAAAATTATGAAAAATGTTAATAAATAGAAACAATTATTTGTTTAAACAATTTAACATAATAATTGTTGCAAATTTAATTCTATATATTTTTTTAATTATAAACTTTAAATTAACAAATTTATAAAATTGTGCCTAATGTCAATGTGTATTTAAAAAGAGTTATAAATTATAAACAATAAATTGTTTAAACAAATAAAAATTCAACAAAATATTTTTGAAATATATTATTTGGCAATATATAAAACAATTAAATAAATTAACAAATATAACTATGAAAAAATGTCTTTAAATATGGGACGTTCCACGTCAAACGAAACAGAGCTCTAGCCAAAAATTGACTTGATAAAAAAAATCGTTTAAGGGCTGAAAAAACTTGTACACTCTTTTACTTTGGAAAGCAGATGGGCGATTTCAGAAATTCAATATGGCGGCGCCTGTAAATGTGATATAAGTCATCAATGTTACGATTCGACAAATACAAACATGAATAAAATTTCCAAAATTAATTAAATTGAATCAAAAAATACACTTTTAAGCATTTTTGGGGTCGCTGAATACGAATCTGAAGTCAGATTTTAAAAATTCAAAATGGCGTATCCAAAATGGGGATCGATTTTTAAAAATTTAATATTTTTCCTCGAAACTTGCTAATTGGGGGTTTTCGGGGTCGTAGAATACAAATCTGAAGTCAGATTGTAAAAATTCAAAATGGCGGATCCAAAATGGTGGTAGTAACCAGTTTTGAGAAAAAAAAAATTGAGTTTTAACAAAAATGGACAACCATTTAGGATCCGCCATTTTGAATTTTTTAAATCTGACTTCAGATTCGTATTCAGCACAGTTTTCCTAAAAGTATCAAATTGAGACCAAAAATTGCATCAAATCTTTGCAACGTTTTGATGCACATAAGTTATATCAAAAAGAGATCGTTTTGTGTATCATTTTTAGAAATGATACACGAAACGGTCTCCTTTTTTCATGCAAAAAATTTAATCAATTTATATCAATCATAGCCGAATTGAATCGACTCAAAATTAAACGAATTTTTTCAGATATTTTGGTAATAGTACAATTGCGGAGACCATTTCACTATTTAATTTGAAAATGAAAATAACAGAAAATCAAAGACAATGTGCAATTCGATAATTAAAAAGTAACAGCTTATAAACATAACCTAAAATGCATGAGAAAAAATTTGTCGATAAAATCAATATAGCCGAGCTTTTTAGAAGGTAGATGGCAGTTTTGCTTTTTATAAAAACGATTCAAAAAATTTAAAGAAAGAAAATAGATTAGTGCTGCCATCTACCTTCTAAAAAGCTCGGCTATATTGATTTTATAGACAAATTTTTTCTCATGCATTTTAGGTTATGTTTATAAGCTGTTACTTTTTAATTATCGAATTGCACATTGTCTTTGATTTTCTGTTATTTTCATTTTCAAATTAAATAGTGAAATGGTCTCCGCAATTGTACTATTACCAAAATATCTGAAAAAATTCGTTTAATTTTGAGTCGATTCAATTCGGCCATGATTGATATAAATTGATTAAATTTTTTGCATCAAAAAATGAGACCGTTTCGTGTATCATTTCTAAAAATGATACACAAAACGATCTCTTTTTGATATAACTTATGTGCATCAAAACGTTGCAATAGAAAAAGATACAACCAAGTTTACTGTGAGCGACCCCAAAAATGCTTAAAAGTGTATTTTTTGATTCAATTTAATTAATTTTGGAAATTTTATTCATGTTTGTATTTGTCGAATCGTGACATTGATGACTTATATCACATCTACAGGCGCCGCCATATTTAATTTTTGAAATCGCCCATCTGCTTTCGAAAGTAGAAGAGTGTACAAGTTTTTTCAGCACTTATTCGATTTTTTTTATTAAGCCAATTTTTGGCTAGAGCTCTGTTCCGTTTGACGTGGAACGTCCCATATTTATTGCAAATTAATAAATAATTAAAACCATAACAATAATTATCAATTAATTAAATAAGTATTATCTGAGAATATTTTACAAATCCTAAATTCAATCGCTTTTTTTCATAAAAAATTTTCTAACACTTAACTAGATGTTCTAGCTAAGTCCAAGTTAGGATCAGTCTAGAATATATAAACAGGGGCTGCCAATGCAGGACCAATATTGGGCCAACAATCATTTTAGGCATACGTTGGTGATTTCTATACGGGAACGATAACAAATGCTTCTTTTGTCTTCAAATGTAGTACATATTTAAAAATAATTTTTGTTTAAAAAATTTTTTAATTTTATAATACTTTTGTAAATTGTTTATTTATTGTGACCCGCTTTTTTTTATTTTCAATTAAATAAATTAACTAATTATAAATATTATGTATACACAGGCAATGAAATTAAAAATAAATTATCCGTGGGTGCCAGATAAAAAAATCACACACACAAATATTATAATAAATATTATTTTGGAACGATTTGAATTCTCGGCTATTTAGATCAAAATGGTAAAGAGGAGGAATTCAAAATTGCGGTTAAAAAGAAAGTCAAAATAAAATTTTCATTTAAATAACATCACTAAATTTCATAAAATAATTACAATTTAATTAAACATTTTTTATTTTAAATACAATATTTAAAATCAATAAAAAGAATTCTTTTTTAAAAAAAAAAGATTACAAGATAAACAAATACAAACGACAAATTTTAACGTTTTGCTCCTTTGTTACGGAATTTCAAGATTTATAATAAAAATCATTTGCAATGAAATAAAATAAAAAATTACCAACTTAGAAAGGACAAAAATCAATGACAAATCAAAATTTTTTACTAGGGAATGATCAAAACACATAAAGAATAGTTTTTTTTTATCAAAATTTTATAAATAAACAAACTATTAAAAATACAAATTTAAAAAAAAAATTATTTTTGAATAAATTCTTCCTTCTTTTTGTTCGTAAATTTTAAACTGGATCTCGAGAAAAAAAGTTTTTCTATTTAAGTCGACTAAAAATTTTAACTATTAATAAATTTAAACAAACAAATTTGTATCTAATAATTTAATAAATTTATTTTAATTAGACTAGAATTTAAAAAAGAATTTAACATTGTAAATTAAAATTTTTAATTTTAGATGTTTTGTTTGAGAAATTCTGACCCAAATGTTTTGTCACGTTCTGTCTGACCTAAACTGACTAATACTACTAACACCAAGCTTACACGAATTCAGTTCTTCATGTCTGACTAAAACTATCTTTTACCACTGGCAGCGAAATCATACACGTATTTAAAAAAGTTTTGTTTAAATGAATTTTACTTTTACTATACGTATTCAAATATTTTTTTTTTTATTTTTCAATAAAAAGGGGAGGGATAAAAAAAAACTTTCAAAATGTAATTTTGCAGTACTTGAAAAATTACTTCTGATTTTTTTTTTAAATTGTACGTGAATCTCCTCTTTTTGAAATTAGAAAAAGAAAGTTAATAAAATTTAAATTTTAATAAAAATTGAAAAATTAACAATAGAATAAATTTTACCATTTATAATTCATGTATACTAATTAATGTACTATTTGAGTAAAAAAAAATGTTATCTTTAATTCGAGGGAAATTTAAGTCCATTTTTATTTTTCTTATATATTTTTAAAAATTTTTAAATCCAAAATGATTTGTGAGAAAATTCTAAGTTAAAAATTTTTAGTAACTGAGGGTAAATTTACTTTCTACTACGTCGATAATTGAAACAACCCTTATCAATAGAGGTTGATGGTAAAATATCGATTAAGCAATTTAGATATTCGATAATATCCCTAGTAGGTAAGATTCTGCTTATCATCATTGGATAAAGTTGAAATTTCTAAAACTATACCGACTATATCGATTTTTCAAAAATTGGTTTGAAAAAAAATTAGT